GAGAGCCTCCCCCATGGACCCCTGGCCAGCCTCTGCTTGGAAAGGCCCAGTGGGGAAGAAGGCCCCGCCTTTCTAGGGGTGGCGTCCACCATCACACCAAGCCCAAGAGGAATGTGGGATCGTCTTGATGCCCTCGAGTCCAGGGGGACGCTGGTCCGTTGGCAATGCCCTCCTTTGGAGTCTTGTCCCGGGCAAGACAAGGGCTCCCTCTCTTGCTTTGGCCAACTCTAGACTTCTACGTTCAGAGCAGGTTTCCCAAAGTTGGCAACTTTTAAGACCTGGGGACTTCAGCTCCCAGAGGGAGTTTTCTTCAACTTGCCAAGGTTGAGAAATCCTGGTTTATAGGCTACAAGAACGAAGGAAAAAACGGTGGCTGTCCTAAAACCAAGGCAGCTTGTTCAGCCACCAAATGCACCTCAACGAGTCCACCTGCCTCCTTCCTTTTCCCCTACACACTCCTTGGCCGAGGTCGCACAACCTGCTGGATGCGGCTAAAAGGGTGAGTTGTGCACCGCTCTGGCTTGGCCCTTCCGAGGCACCGGCTGAGTTCGCACCCAGCCTCGCTCTGCTGCTCCTGGGGTGTCAATTCCACTCCCTCCCTCCCTCCGAGCTTCGTCTGGAGCAGGTCTCTGAAGCCAGCCCGGGTGGCCCAATTAGTCTGGCCCACCTGGCCCCACAGCGGTGGAGGCTGAAGACCGGGAAGGAGGGGCCTCATCCCCACCCCTCTTCCAGGCACCGGGGATACCACAACGCCACACACCTAGCTTAAGAAGGGTTGGGGGAGCAGACCCAAGAGATGCTCCTGACTGGCACCGTTGCCATGGAAACGGCACTCACAACCCGAGGCAGGAGACGCAAGGAAGCAGCAGAGCAGAAGGGGCAACATTCAGCCAGAGTCAGACCAGCCCACCCCTCGGCCTTGCCCTCCGCGCCCAGCCAGGTGCTCCTCAACGTGATGAAGACGTTATCCATGCCGCCCTGCCCGACTCTCGGTGAGTCCGTGAGCCGAGCTCTCTGCACGTCTCCTGGTCTCCCACCGTTTTTTTTTTTTCAATCCTCTGTCTGGTTTCCGTTTTGACGGCGGGGACCCCACGCCCAGCGGAAGCATCTCTCGGTGGGAAGGGTTGAGCCAGACCTTCCGCTGATCTCAGCTTCCCACGGACTGGACCTTCCAGGACCCTCAAAAGAATCTGGACCGCTGAATTTCCAGAGGTTCTGAGGTCCTGCAACAAGCTGGCCTCACTGTCGAAGCCTGGAGGCAGGCTTTGCATCAGTCGGAAACCACGTCCGTGGACGACTCCAGCCGTGACCCTTGAAAGGGGTCCTCCTTGGAGAATCCAGGGCTGGAAAGGTGGGCTGGGGCTTCTTTGAAAGATGCCTTTAGTTGCTCAGGAACCGGCTTGTTGCCCAAAAGCCACAATATCCAGAACAACTAGACACAGGGACAGCTTTTTCCCTCACGCTGTCACTCTGCTGGACACCTGATGCTCCCAGTTCTGTCTGTCCGTGTGTATTTGCTCACGTAGTATGGATGTAGTAGTGTTAGTTTATCCTTCTAATCTTCTTTACTCCCCCCTCTTATTGATACGATGATGACAACGATCGTTATTCTGTCGTTTTGCATGTACACTTGGAGCTTCTGCACTGGAGACAAATTCCTTGTCTGTCTAATCACACTTGGCCAAGTAAAGTGTACTCAATGCAACACAATGCAACACAATTCAATCCAATCTGATGCTAGTTGCTGAAGGAGCCCAAAAGAATGGACTGTCCTTTCTGGACCCATCTGGTGCCACCTGGTTGCTGGAAAGCTGGACTGTGTTGACTTCTAATTGGGACTGCTCATCTTAGTAGAAAGGGGTCTGCACATCCAGGTCAGAATAACAGAATAAATTGGGACCTTGGAGGTCTTCTAATCCAACCCCCTCTCAAGCAGGAGACCCTGTATACCATTTCAGACAAATGTCTGTCCAGTCTCTTCTTAAAAACTTCCAGTGATGGAGCTTTCACCGCTTCTGGAGGCAGGTTGTTCCACTGGTTAATTGTCCTCACTGTCAGGAAGTTCCTCCTTAGTTCTAAGTTGCTTCTCTCCTTGGTGAGTTTCCATCCGTTGCTTCTTGTCCTGCCTTCAGAGGCCTTGGAGAATAGGTGGACCCCCCTTATTCTGGGGCAGCCCCTCAAATACTGGAATAGTGCTATCACGTCTCCCCTAGTCCTTCTTTTCTCCAGACTAGCCAAACCCAATTCCTGCAATCCTTTTTCATCGGTTTTAGCTTCCAGTCCTCTAATCACCTTAAGTTGCTCTTCTCTGAGACTCTTTCTAGAGTCTCAACATCTTTTTTATATTGTGGCCACAAAACAAGGTCGGCAGGATGGGCTCTTTTAATGACACCCACCCACCCCCAATTTCAGAGGCAGATCAATTTATGCAAAGAAATCGGCCTCCCTACTGGCTAAAAATCTGCTATCCATCATGGAGCCAGCAGAAGTTACAAGGCTGAGAGTCCAGCTAAGATATTGGGCAGGACAGACAGGCAGGCAGGCAGACGTGCCCCCTTCCCTTGGAGCAGGGGTAGGCAACCTTGGCTCTTTTATGACTCGTGGACTTCAACTCCCAGAATTCCTGAGCCAGCTGTGCTGGCTCAGGAATTCTGGGAGTTGAAGTCCACGAGTCATAAAAGAGCCAAGGTTGCCTACCCCTGCCTTGGAGGAAATCTGCTTAGGGCTGAACGTCCCCTGGAAGACTTCCATGCAGGAGTTTAACCTGCATGCCCCACAAAAGCAGACAGTTCTTTAAAAGGGTTTTTAAAGAGGGCCAGCTAAATCATCGACTGTATATCCACATCTCTGTTCATCAAGCGTTTAAGGCAATTAAGAGGCGGGACAAAATGAAGGGAAGATGTAGCTTTTCCCTCCAAGCTGGCAGCTGAGTCAGATGGCCTGGAAGTGAGGAATGCGCCCGGCCTCTGCTGAAGGTGATTTAATTAGCCACGATTTGGGGAACAAGCCATGGCGGACTGTGATAAACATATTGGTGATAAACATGGTCCACATGCGTTAAAAGCACATTGGGGCTGAATTTAAGCCATCTGTTGAGGCTGCCTCCCTCTCTGCAGCTGGGCCCATAAGGGGGAGCTGAGGATGAGCAGAGACAACCCCCCCTCACACCCCCGGGGGTTTCTTGGCAGCATGCTCCCCCTTGGGCCTGCACTGGAGGGAGTGTGTGTCTCTCTTTCAGTGTTTCTCCGTCTCCCTGCTCTGCTCCTCTTTGTCCATAGAATCATAGAGTCCTAGGGCAGGAAGGGACCTTGGAGGTCTTCTAACACCTCCCCCCCCCAAGGTAAGAGTCCTTAGACCACCATGGAAGATTCTCCTGCATCCCATGCTTTTCCTATCTCCCCCCTCCCTCCCCCTTCCTTGTCTTGCTCAGGTGTCCTGCCTGGTGCGGTCTACAAGCTTCGCTTCCCAGCTGAGGAGGTCTCACATCCTCTGTCCACAGACCAGGATTAAATAGTGAGATTTGAGCACTAATGATGTTCCTTAGTTGGGTCATGGAACGTCTGCAAGGAAACCACCCAGCTCAGAGACCCCCAAAGACCCCACTGTCCTCCTCCCCCCTGCAACCCCCTTCCAGCACTGATGATGTTCCCTAGTTGGGTCATGGAACGTCTGCAAGGAAACCACCCAGCTCAGAGACCCCNAGGCAAGAGCCTGGCAGAGCCACTCCAGACCTGCTTCTTTCAGTCCCAGCTGTTGTGGGAATGACACCCAGTGCGCCTTCCCGTCCGTCCTTCGGCCTGCAGCCTCCACTCCGCTGGCCCAGCCTTTTGGAAGGGGGTCCTTTGGGGAGGGGGCGCCTCTGCTTAGGGCAGGAGGAGAAGGGAGAGCCTCCCCCATGGAAAGGCCCAGTGGGGAAGAAGGCCCCGCCTTTCTAGGGGTGGCGTCCACCATCACACCAAGCCCAAGAGGAATGTGGGATCGTCTTGATGCCCTCGAGTCCAGGGGGACGCTGGTCCGTTGGCAATGCCCTCCTTTGGAGTCTTGTCCCGGGCAAGACAAGGGCTCCCTCTCTTGCTTTGGCCAACTCTATAGACTTCTACGTTCAGAGCAGGTTTCCCAAAGTTGGCAACTTTTAAGACCTGGGGACTTCAGCTCCCAGAGGGAGTTGTCTTCAACTTGCCAAGGTTGAGAAATCCTGGTTTATAGGCTAAAAGAACGAAGGAAAAAACGGTGGCTGTCCTAAAACCAAGGCAGCTTGTTCAGCCACCAAATGCACCTCAACGAGTCCACCTGCCTCCTTCCTTTTCCCCTACACACTCCTTGGCCGAGGTCGCACAACCTGCTGGATGCGGCTAAAAGGGTGAGTTGTGCACCGCTCTGGCTTGGCCCTTCCGAGGCACCGGCTGAGTTCGCACCCAGCCTCGCTCTGCTGCTCCTGGGGTGTCAATTCCACTCCCTCCCTCCCTCCCTCCGAGCTTCGTCTGGAGCAGGTCTCTGAAGCCAGCCCGGGTGGCCCAATTAGTCTGGCCCACCTGGCCCCACAGCGGTGGAGGCTGAAGACCGGGAAGGACGGGCCTCATCCCCACCCCTCTTCCAGGCACCGGGGATACCACAACGCCACACACCTAGCTTAAGAAGGGTTGAGGGAGCAGACCCAAGAGATGCTCCTGACTGGCACCGTTGCCATGGAAACGGCACTCACAACCCGAGGCAGGAGACGCAAGGAAGCAGCAGAGCAGAAGGGGCAACATTCAGCCGGAGTCAGACCAGCCCACCCCTCGGCCTTGCCCTCCGCGCCCAGCCAGGTGCTCCTCAACGTGACGAAGACGTTATCCATGCCGCCCTGCCCGACTCTCGGTGAGTCCGTGAGCCGAGCTCTCTGCACGTCTCCCGGTCTCCCACCGGGTTTTTTTTTTCAATCCTCTGTCTGGTTTCCGTTTTGACGGCGGGGACCCCACGCCCAGCGGAAGCATCTCTCGGTGGGAAGGGTTGAGCCAGACCTTCCGCTGATCTCAGCTTCCCACGGACTGGACCTTCCAGGACCCTCAAAAGAATCTGGACCGCTGAATTTCCAGAGGTTCTGAGGTTCTGCAACAAACTGGCCTCGCGAAGCCTGGAGAAGGAGGAGGCTTTGCGTCAGTCGGAAACCACGTCCGTGCACAACTCCAGCCGTGACCCTTGAAAGGGGTCCTCCTTGGAGAGTCCAGGGCTGGGCAGGTGGGCTGGGGCTTCTTTGAAAGATGCCTTTAGTTGCTCAGGAACCGGCTGGTTACCCAAAAGCCACAATATCCAGAACAACTAGACAAGGGGCAGCTTTTTCCCTCACGCCATCACTCTGCTGGACACCTGATGCTCCCAGTTCTGTCTGTCCGTGTGTACTTGCCCATGTAGTATGGATGTAGTAGTGTTAGTTTATCCTTCTAGTCTTCTTTACTCCCCCGTTATTGGTACGATGATGACGACGATCGTTATTCTGTCGTTTTGCATGTACACTTGGAGCTTCTGCACTGGAGACAAATTCCTTGTCTGTCTAATCACACTTGGCCAAGTAAAGTGTACTCAATGCAACACAATGCAACACAATTCAATCCAATCTGATGCTAGTTGCTGAAGGAGCCCAAAAGAACGGACTGTCCTTTCTGGACCCATCTGGTGCCGGCCGGTTGCTGGAAAGCTGGACTGCGTTGACTTCTAATTGGGACTGCTCATCTTAGTAGAAAGGGGTCTGCACATCCAGGTCAGAATAACAGAATAAATTGGAAGGGACCTTGGAGGTCTTCTAGTCCAACCCCCTCTCAAGCAGGAGACCCTGTATACCATTTCAGACAAACGGCTGTCCAATCTCTTTTTAAAAACTTCCAGTGTTGGAGCATTCACAGCTTCTGGAGGCAGGTGGTTCCACTGGTTAATTGTCCTCACTGTCAGGAAATTTCTCCTTAGTTCTAGGTTGCTTCTCTCCTTGGTTAATTTCCATCCGCTACTTCTTGTCCTGCCTTCAGGGGCCTTGGAGAATAGGTGGACCCCCCTTATTCTGGGGCAGCCCCTCAAATACCGGAATAGTGCTATCACGTCTCCCCTAGTCCTTCTTTTCTCCAGACTAGCCAAACCCAATTCCTGCAATCCTTTTTCATCGGTTTTAGCTTCCAGTCCTCTAATCACCTTAAGTTGCTCTTCTCTGAGACTCTTTCTAGAGTCTCAACATCTTTTTTATATTGTGGCCACAAAACAAGGTCGGCAGGATGGGCTCTCTTAATGACACCCCCCCCAAATTTCAGAGGCAGATCAATTTATGCAAAGAAATCGGCCTCCCTACTGGCTAAAAATCTGCTATCCATCATGGAGCCAGCAGAAGTTACAAGGCTGAGAGTCCGGCTAAGATATTGGGCAGGACAGACAGACAGACAGGCAGGCAGACGTGCCCCCTTCCCTTGGAGCAGGGGTAGGCAACCTTGGCNTTCCCAGGGGGAGGAAAGCAGAGACCGGGCAGATTCTTGTAACAGAGGCTGCGTCGGCCAGAAAGAAGCAGAAGCCCTCGCTGAGTTGCTACCTTTGGACAACAATCTCGACAATAGTTGAATACATAAAAAGACAGATAAGTGATAGATGGATAGAGAGACAGATGACAGAGTGATAGATAGATGACAGATGGATAATGGAGAGATCGATGATAGATGATAAATAATATATAAATGATAAATGATAGACAGATAGATGGATGATAGATGACAAATAATAGATAAGTGATAGATGGATAGTTATAGACAGATGATCAATGAATAATAGATAGATGATAAATAATATACATGTAATAGATAAATGATAGAGATAGATAGATAGATGGTAGCTAGCTAACTAGCTAGAAAGAAAGAGAAAGAAAGAAAAAGAAAGATATAGCTAGTTAGCTAGTTAGCTAGCTAGAAAGAGAAAGAAAGAAAGCTAGCTAGATTTTTCAACCATCTCACAACAATGGCTGGCGACAGGAGGGCTAACAGTGGCTTAACAACACAAACACAACCAGACACCCAAAGGCAACTCAGGATGACAACTCAACCTCACATTCCAATTCAGCCAGGGGGGCCAGGAGGCAGACACCCCCCCACCTTCACACCCCAGGGCCCCTCGATTCCACAACCAACACTGACACCTCGATTGGCACAGAAGCCTTCTCGATCAGAGCCTTCATTTCCCAAAGAAGAAATCCGGCTGAACTGGCCGACTCACACAACACATAAAATCCAGATTACAAAAAAAGACCCCAAACCCCTGCTCAGGTCTCCACTATGCACCTGGACATCACACTCTTCCCATTGGAGGGAACAACTCGAAGCAAGAAACGAAAACGAAAGGTAGATGCGTCCCACAATGAAATTAAACACAGGTGTTAAGAGAAGCTATTTTTTCCCCCTAAATTTCTTTTTCTATTTTGATTTCATATCATGCTTTTCGCTATTTATTCCTCACCCTTGCAAAGCTCAATCTCCCTGGTCATTTGCAGATGGCCCCATCAGTGCTGGTGTCCATGGCTGCCGAGTGGCTTGGATCACTCAAGCCTTCGCATCTAGATTTAGTATTTATTTCAGAGGTCTCCAAACATGCCGCTTGAAGACTTGTGGACTTCAACTCCCAGAATCCCTCAACCAGCCACGCTCTTCAGGCTGGCTTCCTTCTAAACCAGGGGTAGGCAACCTTGGCTCTTTTACGACTCGTGGACTTCAACTCCCAGAATTCCTGAGCCAGCATAGCTGGCTCAGGAATTCTGGGAGTTGAAGTCCACGAGTCGTAAAAGAGCCAAGGTTGCCTACCCCTGCTCTAAATCATAAATGCTGGTTCATTCTCTCTCTCTCTCTCTCTCTCTCTCTCTCTCTCTCTCTCTCTCTCTCTCTCTCTCTCTCTCTCACACACACACACACACACACACACACACACACACACTCAATAGGGTCTGCAAGGCTACCGGTCATTTGGGGGCAGGAGCCCAGCAAATCCCCAGGCAGGGTCCGAGCTCACCTGTGCGAAGTGAAGTTGTCGTAGGAGCCCACGGTGTAATGTCGGAAGAGCCTCTTGGTCCGGTCTTCTCTCGTTTCTGTGGGGAAAGAGCAGCCTTCTTCAGAGACCCGGCAGCAGGAGGGGGCCCCTAGCGCCATGCCACCCCGTGCCCACGCCCAGGAGCCCTGCGGAGCTTGGAGCCCGGCTCCCCTTCGCTCGGAGGCAGAGGAAGATGCACGAAGAGCATCACTCTTGACCCACGGCTTCTCCGAGAGGGGGCCAGCTGGCATGGAAATGAGGCTGGGGGAGGCTCCACTGGATACCCCCGATGCCCCTGTTCCACTGGGCACCCAAGCTCCACTTCATCCCTGCCAGGGGGACAGACAGGGTGCCAACGATACCCTTGGAACCGACTGACCCCACAAAGC